GATTTATGAAGGACCACTTTATTTGTCATTATATTCCGTTTACATATGACATTTTAACGTCATCGTAGAACATTCCAGCAAATGGAATACCGTTTAATGCCCGTCCATTCCCTAGCCTTTAACAGACCCGCACCGTTATATCGGTCATTCGGAAACAAAGGTTGTTCAAATAATCCTGATTTTTACCATAGTTAGTCATTTCTTCTGGTATGCCTATAGCACGAGGAAGTGAAGTTCCGACAATCCCTATTCACACCAAATGGTCACTCACGATTCTATATACATGAGAGCGGAAGAGGGTTTAACCGCGAACAAGTAAACGATGAGAACCCGAAGTTCTGGCTTGCAATCCCCTACATGAGGATAGTTTCTGATGGGACAGCAAGAATCCTGAGCCCTTTTGAGATTGGGGTGGCGCAAAAACCAGCTACCAGCAACGGAATAATCAGCAGTGGTGTACAAAATACCTTATGAAGATTGCACGGTGTCCATCGACCGGCATGCGGAAATATGCTGTTCTGCAGCTCGTCGGCAATTACAGATGCGAGAGTAACAGTCTCGTATCAAGACTCGGGTTGCAGTGCAAGGTACGTTGTTGAAACGGGCAAACGTCTCTGCACAAGATTTTACGAGCACCAGCTTGCAGTCAACCGCGAGGAGAAGCTGTCACTGGTATATGACTACATACAACAGGGGAAGCACGGCTTCATCTTTTGGGAGATAAGCCTCATCGGCCGAGCCAGCGACAAGATGGCATCCTGGTTCTTGCAAGTTAGTCCCCAGTTGACACAATTATCAGAGCCCTTTATCTCCATCCGACCAACGAGGCACTTCGTACGAGGATCCAGTCAGTTCGGACGCGGCCGACAGCACTGACGAACAAATCGCGCTTTTCCCAGCAGTTGTTACCTGCACGGCAGGGGGAGAGAGCCAGCCGGGGATCAGACGACCGACGCGAGACATCGACCCACCGACACGCCTAAACAGCCGACGGCGATTCGCACATGCAATGGCATGAAGGACGCGTCCAAATTCCCTATTAATTGAGTCAGTATCCGATGCCATTTTATGAAGTCGTAACTTGAATGTAAGTTTTTATGGTTTTATATGTGCTGCAATTTAACTATCTGCCTTTTCAAGTGCGTTTGGTATGGTTTGCTTATTTAAAAAAGTTTGAAAATTCGCTGTTGCTGGGAAATCTGATATGTGCTGATCGAGATTTAATGAACCAGCAGACTAAATGTCCATGTGTTGAAATTCAGGGTATGGTAAAGCAAGGAAGTAAGAAGGCATTATATGCATATTTTACATTCCAAAATAGATGATTAACTATGGTAAAATCAGGATTACTTGACCAACTATCGTATCAGAATGACCAGTAAAACGGTGCGGGTCTGTTAAAGGCTAGGCAGTGGACGGGCATTAAACGGCATTCAATATGCTCGAATGTTCTACAATGACGTTAAAATGTTATATGTAACCGGAATATAAAGACAAATAGAGGGATCCCTCATAAATCGAGGTTGCCTTAATCTTGGAACAGCCTTATCGAAAGAATGGACGATTGGGCCTGGGATTCAATAACCGACGTACGGAAATCCTGCAACTCCCGTCATCGGAATATTGTAATCACTGTTTGTTGAAGCACTCGACATGCTGCATATACACAGCCACCGGTGGACGTAGTAATGTCGCTACACAGCGAGGGTGTAGATTAAAATGTTATTCAGGTGCAGGCTTACGAAAGACCGGTATCAGCACGGCGTTTACATTGCGGAATTAAAATTGTGTGTAACATATCAGGTGAAACGGCCACTGCGATTACCCGACCAACATTTACATTGCAGAAGCCGACAAGTAATGCAAACCTAAGACGATTTGCTAGCTGATTATGCCACAACCGAGCAAATATGTCCTTAATCGTTCTTAAATAACCGTTTGTCATCATCGAGCATTTATAATAAAAATTATCTAGACAAATCTAATAAGCATGCAAGTATAAATGAAATAATTGCATTATCCTTAAACCAGACCTTTTACAGGTCCTGCTGGTAAAAAATTTGAAATTTGTGGAATGAATGTCTGTCAAACAGGCTGAATGTATCAGGCTGAATGACCTCTTATCTTTGAGGCCCTTATGATAACGTCACTCATGTTATTTCCAATCCAGCATGCGTGCAATTCTGAACATATTTTACGTACCGCCTTATGCACGTCATTCGCAGAGGGTCTGTACGACACTTTTAAGCATTTTACCGGGTGGTGGACGTCGTTACCCACAAAAGGTGAACTGTCTTTACGAATGTCTCAATTGCTAAAAATATAGATTATTTGAGATTTGTCTATTGCATTCCTTTCCCTCCTAAGCCCTTAGGATCTGCCATACAAGCTCGGACGCAGACATCAAGAAGCGAAATAACCTCAATTACGGCATAAAATAATTGTTTATGGATTAATTATTCAGAAGGGGAAAGTTTGACATCCACGCCCCGATGGCGTTTTATCCTTGGCCCCTTAATGTATAATTTATTATCAGAAATCTTCCCAAGTTGTAGGTAGTAGAACTACACAATAAACTGACTTGGCACCAAATACAGTGTTGAATTCGGCCAGCAGAGCGTTGGCATGGAGGTCAGCTCTCTAAGTTTGGTTCGTCTGGCATTTCGTAAGGTGAGTTGAAATAACCCAGAACCTTTGTAGTGATTGACGTAAGCTTAGTGATTTAAACATGTGTGGCTCTAAAGTTTGTCATGGCTCTAAGTTAAGCTGAATATCATGTCGGCGCAGACTACTTTCAGGTGGCTTCTCAGCTGAACACGAATTATCTCCAACCCAGGAAAGTGAACAATTTTAGCCCTGATGTGAGGGAGAGGACGGTGTTGTTCACTTCGCAAGGAATATTCACAAGTTTCAGAAGGCGATGAAATGCGTTTAAGCATTTACCAACCCTAAAGGCCCTAATATTTACAAGGGTGCCTTTGCACTAAAAGGGATCCTTTCACTGTTAACAAAATGCAATGCGATAAGTCCTCAAATGGACAGACGAACTTGCATTTTGGGCACATTCAATAAAATATGCTCGAATTGATGTGATCTCTAACATTTAGTAGAGACACTTGTGCTGCATTTGTACGGCAATCTAACAAGGCGTAGTTTCCAATGCACCAGAAGAAAGCCCATTTAAGGTTAACATCCCAGTGTGACTTTGGTTGCTTAGGATCATGCCGCGTTATAAAACATAATTGAGGCAACATTTATAAATCCAACAACAATATTTTAATCCTTAAAGTGGACTTTCGTGAGATCAATCACATACTGTTCGAAAATCGGCATACAAACAAACGCAATACGACTCAAATCTATTCAGCAACCTTCGCATAGTGATGCTTGTCTGTGTGGGTGTTACAATGTGGGCTAATAATCCCGCCCCATTAAATGTTATACAGAATTCTAAAATGATTTTTCAGTGTAATAAGAATTATATAACGGCATTTGTAAGGCAAGTTGGTACGCAATATTATTCAAAGATATCGCAGGCCGGACATTGCATTGTGTCTCGTATGCACTTTTATTCCGCTTCAAATAGTCATGTTCGCTGGAATTGCCGTTTAATTAGTAGGTATTTTTTAAATTGGGCCATCAAATCCTTAAAATACAAATATATATACTAGTGAAAATAGGTCTCGAAAAGCCTGTTTTTTGGCTTGAATGAAACCCTGTTTTTGTAGAATCGTATGCATTGGGAGTTTCAAGGAATACTTTATTTTCACAATCTTCAGTTGCGTGTTCGTCAAGGCCCTACGTGGGGAGCGAAGTGGGCACTCATTTGTGTCACCGTAAAACACTATGGAAATTTCGTAAAATCCCAACTGGCTTGAGCTATTTGGTATGTCTAATGAAAAGAATCAATAAGTGCACAAGAGTAATGCTCAGTTAGAGGACATTGTAGTGGTAAAAATTTAGCATCATTAATAGCGCTAAGTGGATGACTTTATTTGAAACCAACTGACTATCAAATTATTGCGACGTCGAAATATCATAAATATATTGAAATGTAGAAAAGCCTCAAAAAATGAAAAAAAGAAACAACGGAACGCTGAATTCAATACTTAACGAACGGAAAGCGCTCAGCCTTTGGCCTCAGAATAGGATGACGATGATGCAATGAATCATTCGGTAATCTCCGTACACCCAAACACCTGCAGACGTAAAGTACGTGTACTATCTCATAAAATCTGAAAACGGCAACGATTCAGATAATTTCTGGACGACCTTAGCGTTAAACATTTTGTTCGCTCATCCACTTTACCTCAAAAGAATATCCTTTTCTTGAGCAGAAATTGCGTTAGCGTAATTATATCAAGTAAAATATCGGTAAATTTTAGCGAAAATGGAGGTTTGATTATATTCATGCAATCTCTTATACTAATACATGTTCAAAACTCCGACTACGCATCTGAGCGCAAAAGTTTTAATAAAAAGATTAAGCCGAACTTGGAATTTTATTTAAACTCCGATGATGACCAAGTTGATCAACCTGCCAACGCAAAATCTATTTTGATAAAAACAGAGGTTTCATCAATTTCTAAATGTCACATGAGCAGATCTTTGCGGTTTGATGTCCAAAACTGCAGTATCAATGCAGATATGAATTCCTTCGTTTAAATGGGCTGAAATGGTTTTGCCGTTTGCAAAATTGTACCTAATGTCACGTAGATAACCACCACGGAATGACCATTTTCATCCTTAAACATATAGAACACTACTTTTCGCGTAGTTTAGCGTCTGTCCGTAACTCAGTCAGAAATGGAACGAGTAAAACCTTAACAGTTTCAGTAAAATGTCAGTATTTATATTGCCGATGCAAGCAAAGATGCGAGTTCCAGGAACAAGTTGATCAGAAGAAGAAGCGTTCGCCGTCAAAGGAACTGACGAAGGAGCAAGAACAGGTTTTACGGCAGGAAGCCTCATTTAACACAACTGACGCCAAAACTGTCAACATGATTACAGCAGTGGAATCGGTCATTAATCAGACGGAAGCGGCGGAGGAGACGAAGAACCTTATCCTACACCAAGCGTCGTCGCTACTTTTGACTCACAAGCCGCGCGAAATACTCCCGAAGGTCGAACGCGATGCACTAAGAGAACTCAAGGCCGACAAGGACATCGTCATCGTGCCCGCGGAAAAGGGGCGTTCCACCGTCGTACTGGACAGAACAGACTACCTTCAGAAGGCCAAAAACCTACTGGAGGATCGTCAGTTTTATGTCCCCTGTGAAACCAACCCCGTAAAGACGCTGACACGCGAAATTAATGCGACATTGTTGGCACTAGAGAATTCGGGTGCAATACCACCGACCGAACGACGCATGGCGAGAGCCCAAAAACGGCTTTGGCCCGATTCTATGGTCTCCTCAAGGTGCTCAAGGAGGACGTCCCTCTCCGACCCATTGTCTCGCTCAAAGGCACTCCAACGTACGGACTGGCAAAATGGCTGTTTCGGCGCCTCAAATTTCTGACCGTTGATTCGGACACCACCGTCTGTTCGTCAATACAGTTCCTAGAGAAGATTAAATGAGTAAGTCCCTTGCCAAATGAGGTCATGGTATCTTTTGATGTCACGTCCCTATTTACTTCTATCCCCATGATCTGACAATCGAGACCGTCGAGCTACTCCTACGAAACAAAGAAGATGAAAAGGAGAATCGTCTTGGACATGCCCAAGTCCTTCAGCACCTAAAGTTCGGTCTAAGGACGTACTTCACGTTTGACGGAACAATCTACGAGCAAGTGAAGGGAACACCAATGGGCTCGCCGATTTCGGGATACATCGCCGAGGCGGCCCTACAGCAGTTGGAGTCGCTTGTCTTCCAACACGACAGACCGAAATTCTGGGCTCTGTATGTGGACGATACTTCGTCGTCATCGAATGGGACCAGTTGCTAACGTTTAAAGAACATCTCAACAGCGTCTTGCCGGACACGCAAGTTACGATGGAGGAGGAAGCAAATAACCAGCTGGCATTCCTTGATGTCCTCGTCTGCCGCAATTATTGTGGTGGCCTAAAGACCAAATTGTTCAGAAAAGAGACGAACACGACGCAAATACTGAACTTCAACAGTAACCACCCAATCAGCCACAAACGCAGTTGCGTGAGAACGCTATTTCGGCCCGGTGAGACGTACTGCAGTGAACCGGAAGACAACGTTGCCGAGCTCCAAAATCTTCGACGGGTTTTCAGAGAAAATGGTTACCCACGCAACATCGTCAACCGGTGTATGCGCAAACGAGACGAACGACAAAACCGTGCCGACCCCAAATTCTGGCGAGCGATCAGGTACATCTAGATCGTCTCCGAAACCGTTAGCCGCCTTCTTGCACCTCTTGAGTTTGGAGTTCAACACAGACCAGATGCCCCTACTGGTGATGTGAACAAAAGACCCACTGCCACAGCATGAAACATCTGGAGGCGTTTACCGGAGCTGGTGCAGTTGCGGACAAAGCAACTACGTCGGAGAAACAGGAAGACTGCTCCGAACGCGAATTGCCGAACACGCGGCAGCGGTACTGAGGAATGACGCCAATTCTCAGGTCGCTGCTCATTCGAGGAGACCCCACCACACATTCAAGTTTGATAAGGCCGATTTTCTCGCGAGAGGGGATAATCGCGTGAGCCGCGAGTTGCTTGAGTCATGGTTCACGGGACCTCAATATATCAACAAGTGCAACGACATGCTCACTCCATACTTCGAGCTGGCCAAGATAATTGACCACTCGGGACGCACACAAGCCGGTAAGCCAGATGGCCGAGCAATCATCACGCCAGCATCCAACACGGGTGATGACATTTCGGAAATTAATAACTTGCATGCCGGCCAGCAAGCAATTAGCGCACCAGCGGACAATGATCCTTCATGAAGGGGAGCGCGGTTAAATGCTATAGGTATGCGGTAGCATAGCGACTGCATTCTATAAATACTGCGATTTCCTTTGCACAAGTCACCCTTTTCTGCCACTGTCTGTGATGATGGAATTAAGTGAGAGTCCGAAACGTCAGGCGAATAAAGCCCTTATTCCAGCGATCGCTTCTTCTTCTGATCAATTATTTATATTGGCTCTCTTGCATACATTCATAATCGAAGATCGGAGTCCAAAATCGAGCAAAATCGGTGGAAATGGTCTTTATTTATATAAAAAGGCATGTTCTTACGTTTACGGTATAAAAATATTTGTATTACCTAGGAGCGTGAAAGAACCCGCAAAAAGTTCAAATTTTCAATTGGCCTCACCGTCCGAAAAAGTAAAGTACACAGAGATCCGTCAACGAAATGAAGAAATACAGCACTTCTTAAAGAGGTACCTTATTACGAAAAGTTTATTTATTTATCAAATGCCTATTTGTTGCTGACTTTCGTTGTGGACAGAAATTTTTCTAGGCAATGTAGTTTGGTGTTTGAACGAGTCTTCACATTGACCCGAACGACAGTCTTCGTGAAAAGGAGCGTCCAACACTTACCAATTCGCTAAATGTCTTTACAATTAATTTAATTTTAAAGTTATCAACAGACAGGTAATTTAAAATCTGTCTTTACGGACAATGCGGTGAAAACACTGAAAAGCATGAAATATTCATCAAAATTTCGAAGTCCATTTGTTACTCAGCGTAATGCAAAACAAGCGAGAATTGTAAATTACTTCAATGGAGGAAAAGTTCCTTCTATACACACCAAATAGTACGTTTCCGATCACGCCTGTCAGTTCAATTTAAATGTATTTAGTCACCGACCGACCTCGTGACACGTTACCTTATGAAAGCTTTTGATGCTACGAAATCCCAATCAGTGAAATCACGCAAAATCCAGCTTTTCTTGTTAAAACTTATTTTATTGACTTTAAACAAACAAATAAAGAAGGATTCACGGTAAAACTCTTTTCGAATCTCCAGTCAGGATGAACGCAGTTGAGAAACCGTGATTTGTGTAATCATACTACTTATTAAACGATATTTACATGAAAACCTGATTAAAACACTGCTATTAGACGTTTTTATGTATTCTTTCATATATATTACGTTTTTGTTTGTTTATAAATTATGCACATCTACAAACGAACTTTACTTCATTCGAGGCATTTCTGACGCTTTCGGTATGTTGAGCTATTTAAATAAAATCGGCAATTCAAAAAATGCAGTACTGCCTTTAACAATTCCTTTATGTTATTTTGTTCTTTTGAACTTGCAGTCACTAAACATGGAAATCGGACTCGTGAAATGTTGTCGTTTTGCGAGTGATTGACAATTATTCGTAAATTCCGACACCATCTTGTGTTAGGTCACTAAATTTAGTAATGCTGCTGCAGAGCACCGGAGTAGATTAAAACGACATTGAAAAGAAGCTGACTGAAAAGCTGCATGAGCGCATAGTTTACAATGCTGAGCCAGAAACGGTGGGTAACACATCAGCAGGACAATTACTGTTATCGTGCGGCTGGTATGTATATATATATTTACCATAAGTCGCCAGGGAATCCAAACTTTGGACGATGACCTATCTAATTATGCCGCAATTAAAATGTGTTTAGATTGGTTTCTAAATAATCTTATAATAAACTGGACCCCATTTATATGCGATTATAGTAAACTTTCCCTAGACAAATATAATAAAATTGCGAATAAACGTAAGACAATTCCATCGTCATGTAACCTGAGGTCTGACTGGTTATCTTGGTAAGTATTTTCGGAGTGTTGAGCGAATTACTCTAGTACCAACATTTAGGCTGAATGGCTTCTTCCCTGTGTGGAAGTAGTAGCACTGCAATTTATGTCAGATCCCAGCTACGCCTGTGAAAGCCTGAACAGGCTTTACGTACCCGATCATTCGTGTCATGCGCAGACGGACTCTGCGACAATGTCAGTCATTACTACCGGGCGGTGGATATCGTCGTTCACTACAGTTGAACTGTCATCACGAATGTCTCAATCGTTAAAATTGTGGATTGATTGTGACTTGTCTCCCTTCTACCTCTGTTAGATCTGCCCAAAAATCTCGGACGGCTTGCAATACGCAATCAAATGGCTTCACATATGGCACAAAATATGGTCCTATGGATTATGCATTAACAGGTGAAAATTGAGCCACCCACAGCTCAACGCTTTTTTTCCTTCCGCCCATTTCCTACTTTTGCTCTCTATTGTAAGTAACTAAAGTACACAAAGAAAATGATTTTATACCAAAGACGCCATTGAATTTGGACAACAATGCAGTGGCGTGCAGGTCAGACGGTGTAAGCCATGGTTGTCTGACATTTTGTGGCGTGGACTGAAGTAAGCCGAAACCTCTTAGTTGACTGGCATATGCTAAGCGATGCAGATATGTGTGGCTTTAAAGGTTGACGTGGCTCTATGTTCATCTGTCTGTCAGGTCGGCGCGGACCTCACCTGTGAAGTAATACTTGCTACGCACAAAAGTAAAATGTTAAGTTTTTTGTACTTTATAATCAAATACAAGGAAATATCAGAATGTGAGGAAATTCGAATGGGGCTTTTATAACAGTCATATTCGTTGTGCTGTTATATCAAATGGGCAGATTAACGTACATTTTTAACACACTGATTAAAATATGCTAGAATAAATGTGCGCATTAATATTCGATAGTAAAAGACAGGCTACATTAGTAGCCTGCAAAATTAAGAATGGTTTGAAATGCGCCAGAAAAAACTAATTCAACGTTTACGTCTCACTGTGACATTTTTTTGCTTAGGTTCATGTCACATGATTAAACCACATTTAGGTAACACCTCTTATCGAAATCCTTTGGCAAACAATAAGGTAGACTCTTGAGAGATATGTTACATACTCTGTGGCAAAACGGCGTAAAAAATGGCTAACATAAAGGTAGACTCATGAGAGATTTGTTACATACTGTTTGGCAAAACGGCGTACACAGAACTTACTACGAAAGAAATATTTCTTAATACCTCCGCGTAACGTTGGGTGGTTACAATGCAAGTCAATCATTCAATCTCATGAAATTGAATATTCGAATTCCAAAACATCCCTAAAATGTAAAAAGCATTACATAACGGCATTCATAAGGTTGGTTGTCGCGAAAGGTATTAACGAGAAGTCCCAGGCAGTACGTAAGGAAGAACTTTAAGGCCTCCTGCTATATTCACGTTTACTAAAAATTGGAATTTCATTGAACGGCATTTTTAAGTGTACCATTCAATAGTCAGGTGTATATGCTGATGAAAATAGGTATCGAAAATCTGTTTTATTTGCTTGGTGGATAATTATGTTTTCAAGAGTCGTATGCATTGAGCCTTTGAAAGCGTACTTCACTTTCCCAAACTGAAATGGCGTGTTCTTTTAGGCTTTGCAGCTCTTAAATTGTTATCCTTTTGTGGGGAGAAAAGTGGGCTTTCAAATATGTCGTAAAAATCACTATGCTTTATTCATTTAGCGAACCGATTTCATATGTCTCTATGTGCTGCTTACGCATTAAATATTGTGATTTTCTG